CAGAAACTATTTACTACAAACTCATGAAAGAAAACTTCTCTATCCTAATGCAATATATGGTTTAAATGATTATGACGTTTACAGAACACCAATTAGATTGGATCCAAAATTCAGTCCTCCTAGTATAATATCCAAAAGTCTAAATGTACAGTACAATAATAAGAATACAAATTGCTACCTGAGAAAATGGCTAAAAAACACATAAAGGCAAACTTATCACAATTACATCTGACTTCTCAACAGATAATCTAAAAGGTGTAAGGGCCTATACACATGATACTACAGATATCAGACCCGAACTTATATCCTCCTAAATATTAAATTGCCATCAATGAAGAAAACTTAAAATCCATAAGCAAAGCAAATACAATAAAAAATTTTCCATTAATACAGCCCCATAAATAATAGTGGGAGAATAACTCAAGTACTAGAAGGGTAAATACACCCCCCAAAAAATCTAAGAAATAAAAATTTACACCAGGAAAAGCAAAAGAAGAAAAACACAAACACACACACACACACACACACACACACAGGCACAAGCACACACACAAGCACACACATACTTACCCCACACAGTTAACAAAATAATAGATATTAGCAATCATTCTTCATTAATATCTGTCTATATAAATGGATAGAATTTCCCAATTTAAAACAAATAACAGACTACATTTATGGATGTTTGACCGTGATCCATCATTTTGTTGTTAAAAAACAAAACAAAACAAAACAAAGACAAACACTACATCAAAGAAAAGCGCTGATAAAAAGATGTTCTAAGCAAATAAACACACAAGAATCATGCTGGCGTAGCAATTCCTATATCTAATTAAAGAGGTATTCAACCAAACAAATCAGAACAGATGGGGAACCACACCTTTTTTTTTTTTTTTGGTTTTTCAAGACAGGGTTTCTCTGTGTAGCCCTGGCTGTCCTGGAACTTACTCTGTAGACCAGGCTAGCCTCTAACTCAGAAATCTGCCTGCCTCTGCCTCCAAAGTGCTAGGATTAAAGGTGTGCACCACCACTACTTGGCTCAGGAACCACACTTTATATGTATAAAGGAATAATCTAGCAGGTGAAGTCTCAATTCTGAACTTTTATGCCGAACATGAACTAACATTCATAAAAGAAACTGTACTTATATTCCCTTGCAGTGCTTACCCTCAAAGCCTAAGCAAGAATTCAGATCACCAGTTAGAGGGGGTTCTGGGTGGCCCCTCTCTGCTTGGTCTAGGGACAGAAGTCCTCTCTTTTAGGTTGGGTGGATATAGGTTTTGGGAACACTCAGAATACTGTGACAATCTCATCTTGAATCTTGTGGTTCTCCATAGCTAACTTTTGAAAATATATCTTAAATGGTTTTACTACCAAATTATGTATCTGTGGTTTTACAAAGTTAGCCTATTTAAGGCCCAGAGACCAAAAGATATAAGCAAAAATGACCCAATTAATGGTCCCAAGATGGGAGGAAGTAGGGTTGACAACCATGGAGAGACTGAAAACTAATTCTTGTACCAGTACTCATCTTTCTCTCTCTCTGTCTTTTCTCTGAGTTCCCTGAGGAACAAAACTGACTTCATAGAGGTTGATGTGAAAAGTATCCCCTCTCCAGGAAAAAGACACTGAGATGGGTATGGCCCTCATACATCACTGGACAACCACAGGGAGACCAGAGCCATTACAAAGTCACCTTCAATTACTGGAGGTCAGGCCTCTATCCTCACCTTCACAAGACTAGAATTGCTGTAGCCCTTCTATACTTAGAGAAGGGAGGAGATGTCAGGGCAGCCCTGCTTAAACACTGAAAGCCTAAAATAAGCCATAGGCATCATATCAGCAGGAGGCCTGTCATACATGTATATTAACACCAAGTCTTGGGTCTCTGTGGAAAAACCTTGAAACAGACGGCTATAAGATATTATAAACAGGCAGCATTTGTAGAAATTTACCAGCCTGAATAGTCATAGACCTTGTAAATAGGTAGCCTTAGCAGATAATAACAACTTAGATAAGGACAAGTGAATCATAGGCAGAGTCATTGTGACCTGTCCCCTGAACATTTACCCAGCCAATACCCTGTTCTGAAAGATATCTGTATTCACCCTAAAACTGTTATTGACACCATGTTGTGCTTGCAGAGAGGAGTCTAGCATAGCTGGTACGTAAATAAGAGACTCTACTAACAGCTGACTTAAGACAGAGGCAGATATATATAGCCAAGCACTGTACAAAGGTTGGGGACCCCTATGGAAGCAATAGAGGAAAGATTAAAGGCGCTGAAAGAGAAGGCAACCTTATGTGAAGATGAACAATATCAACTAAGCCGGACCCCTGGGAGCTCCCAGAGACTAAGGTACTAAGCAAAGAGCACACATAAGCTGGTTCAAGGTCCCTTGCACATATTTCAGATTACCTGGTTCTCTTCCTTCTGTATTCTCTCGGTCAGGTATCCAGGGCTCTTTATTTTGTTCAAGACAGATGATTACCTCTGGTTTTGAAAATGCAATACCTGTATATTCAAATATAAATTAGAATATTCCTTTGAGTGTACCTGGGTACTTACATAGGAATATATGATACATATAACATGAAGAAGAGTAAAAAAAAAATACATGAATAACTTTTTATATCCACTTTTTTCTAAAGTGTTTTAGACTCTACATAACTCAATTCTTTTTAAAATTCTGAATAAATTATCACATTGACTAAAGACAACTGTGGAAGTCAAAGTGGATTCACATATAAATGCTAATATCTGCCTAAGAATAAGTTACTAAGATTGAAGGATTCTTAGTTCAAATTTAAAATCAAGAAAAATGTAGGTAATATTTTAGCTATAAATATGTTACTGATCAATACTTATAATTAATGAAGGCCAGATCCAAGTACTGAAAGAAGTTTCAGATATTTCTGAGGTGAAGTAGAAATTATGAAATAAAAATATTCTTACCCACAGAAACCAGGTTGTTGTAATTCTCCAACATGACATCTCTGTACAAAGTCTTCTGAGCAAAATTGAGACATTCCCACTCCTCCTTAGAGAACTCTATAGCCACATCAATGAATCGCAATAGACCCTGAAATTAAAATTAACCATTTGCCCTCATATCTATTGGCTAAGTTGTATATTTGCCCAAGAAAGATTAGTTAAGTATGTAAATTTTTATGTTATCAATAACAAAGAGTAATTTTTGATGAATTATGATCTGAGAAAAATAGTATTTGGCGTCTCTGCAAAGATCCAATAGTCTAGCAGTTCTCCACTTGAGGATGTTGACACTTTTCATGGTCAAATGGCATAATCCCATCAATGATCTAATGGTGGTTTCCTAAGCCATGAGGAAGCAGAGATATTTACTTAATTCATAGCATGCTTCATTGCAGTAGCAAAATTACAGTTATCAACTAGTAACAAAAATAAACTCATGGTTTGGGTCAATAAGACCTCAGAAGTTTTTCAAAGAGTTGCAGCGTCAGGAAAGCTGTGACCTATGTCAATAGGCTCTCAGCATTATTATTTAAATTATTTATAATATATTTATTGTATAATTTAAAATACAATACATATTATTATGTACTATACATTTGTTACATTATTTAATATATAATAAAATTAAATATTTATTAAATAATATGTTATACACATTGCTATGAAAAATTAAAAGAGAGAATAATATGAAAGGTTTTTTTTGTAAATATGAGTTAGTACAGTGAAAGTTTTGATGTTATAATAATGAGGATATTTCTGTAAAAAGAGTCATCATGTCCCATACCCATGCACACATTTACCTGAGAAGAACACATCTTTTCTTTCTCCTTCAGAATGGAATGTCTCACAAATGTTTATATGAAAATTACACCTTCCAGAAGCCACACTTTATTGATAGACAGCCAATCCTCCTCCCTGTCCCTGATGAAACTGAAGTGTGGAAAGCAGGAATTACAACTCCTTGCCTTCTGCCAGAAAACTGCTCTGGAGATCATGAGCTTATATAGGGAGAAGGGTAAAAAATCCTTTACTGATTTCAGGTGTTTTGTTTAACCAGAAAATGGTGTATTTCTCTATAGGACTGGGTATGTAGCAGTAGTGACCTCCTATATAGCTAACAGACAGATTGTAATTTTAAATCGATGCTGAACATAGTTAAAATTGATAGTCTCCCTTTGCTTTCTTTACCTTTGCTTGAGGTGCTTTATCAAAAAGCAAAACAAAAAAATCCAAAACAACAACAACAAAAACCTGATGCCTCCATTTGCATTAATTGTCAGTGTCTGTGAGGCAACCCCAGCTGAAATTATTTCTGATAATAAGTAAACATAATACTTGCCTGTGGCAAAGAAGAAATAAGGCAACCAATTCCTATCTCATCATTTTCTACAACAAGATATTTCTCTTGACTTCCATTTCCTTTTCTAAAATACCATGATTTTGTTGTTTTAAAGAGATACTTATGATTATATTTTCTTACCTGTTTCCTTTTAAAGTGAGTTGATTCTTTTGGATTAATTATTAAAAACACTATCTATTCACATGTCAATATGACAGCACTGCACCAATTCTAATACCTTCACCTGTCAGTGAAAGTAGCTGAACTTCAGCCTCCAACAATATCATCCATGTTGACAACCTTGAACTGATAAGAGTCTGAATAGTGTTATATTAAAAATATCTTTACTACCCAATACTTTGTCATTTACTTCCTGTGAAGTATACACTGTAAAGCAAAAAGAGAGACACTGTGCTTACATGCAAAACTCACCCATATGATTAATATCAGTCATCAAAAACTACTAATAAGAACTCAAATTGTGCCTCAATTATTAATTCCAATTTTACTTAGGTTTCTTTTTTACTTTTTCTTCTCTTTCATTCTCCTATTCTTTCCACATTTTAAGGCTCTATGCCAGTGAAACAAACTTTTAGAAATTTCAGAAATACAAGATGAAGGTCTAGTTCACAGAGTGATTTCAATGTTTCCTTGTACTTGAAGATGTCAGAACAATGTAAATTGTTTATCATACTTATTACATTTCTAAGGTTTGTCTCCTACATGTATTCGGTGGAAAATTCTGAGAGTTGAGGAGTGGGTGAAGGATTTCCCACATTCATTACATTTGTAAGGTTTCACACCAGTTTGAATCCTGTAGTGAACATGAAGTCGGGAGGACTTTGTAAATAATTTACCACACTCATTACATTTGTAAGGTTTGTCTCCAGTATGGATTGTGTGGTAATCTTTAAGATTTGAAGAACTGGTGAAGGATATCCCACAGTCATTACATTTGTAAGGTTTCTCACCAGTATGAATTCTGTAGTGAACTTGAAAATGTGAGTACTGTTCAAATGATTTACCACACTTATAACATTTGTAAGATTTTTCTCCTGTATGGATTCTTAGGTGAACTCTAAGACTTGAGGATTGGCTGAAAGATTTTCCACATTCACTACATTTGTAAGGTTTGTCTCCAGTATGGATTATAAATGAACTTTAAATTTTGAGGACTGTTTAAAGGATTTCCCACATTCATTACATTTGTAAGGTTTCTCACCAGTATGAATTCTGTAGGGAACATGAAGATGTGCAGACTGTGTAAACGATTTACCACACTTATTACATTTGTAAGGCTTGTCTCCTGTATGGATTCTGTGGTGAACTCTAAGACTTGAGGAAAGGATGAAGGATCTCCCACATTCACTACATTTGTAAGGTTTGTTTCCAATATGGTTTCTGTGATGAACTTTAAGCATTGAGGAACAGGTGAAAGAGTTTTCATATACATTACATTTGTAAGGTTTGTCACCTTTGTGGATGATTTGGTGAGCTTGAATATTTGGTGACTGGCTAAATACTCTGGCTTTCTGAGTGCATTCTTCTTTATGGCCTGAAAAATGTGGAAAATATATGAATAGAAATTTAAGAATTTATTACATGTTAGATCCTTGAAATTAATTCCTTTAATATTTTTATACCATCCCTCTCTGATTTTAAAACACATTTTATGAAAAATTTTCTAATATTTACAAAAGTCATCAGCAATTATTCAAAATATCAAATTACTTGAAGCAATCTTTTTCCAACTATCACTCTAGAGCAATTTTTTCCGTTCATTTTGATTCTCAATTATTAATTTGGACACAAATCATCTTTCAAATCACTTGAAGAAAACAATGACAGAAATAAAGGACTACAATATTCAGTTACAGATTGAATCCCAGTCAAAGATTAATTAATAGTTTTAAAATAATAAATATTATGTGTAAGAAAGAAACATAATAAAACCTAAGTGTATCAGTTAAAAATCATGTGAGGCATATGAGACATGAAGATTTAAAACTGTTCTCAAATCTTATAGAAAACTCACTGAGACAGATAAATTCCATGTAATCCTGAGAAATTCTAGTCATGATAAAAATCATGATATAATTAAATCAACTTTTATACTATACTCATAGATAAAAGTAGATTTCAAATTAAAGTATGATATTCTGAAAGTAAAATTTGAAAAGTCCAACATTATGTTTGAAATATAGTAATGAATCTCTGATCTACACATCATTCTTTGTTAGACAGCTCTGTCTGCATCCTTAGAGGCCTGCTGCCACCCATCCCAATCATGTGCGATCCCCACTCCCTACACCTCTGCAAAACAGGTTCCCTGGCAAGTACAACAGAAGACATCTGCCCCATACATCCCATGATGCATCTTCTAGTACACATAGCTACTTGTGATCCCAGACTCTTGCAGCCATCAGAAATCACTAGCTTTTTCTGAGACATAGGAGATTTCAGTCTTTTGTACGTATTTTTTCACACCCCTCCTATCAATGCTCATGGACTAACAGAAAAGATAAGATGCAAGAATTGTGTAGGTCAGAGGTGGTTAATGATGATAAATAGCATTTCCAGACACAACAAGATTAATGTCTATATAAACTCACTGAGAATTTGAAAACATTCAGCTGACTAGGACATGTTCAGCGAGATAAGACCCCAGCTTTGAGAAGGAGAAAGAGGGTAGAAAATGTCCCACAATATAAGAACCTATACAAAGTTCATAATTTCTTGGAGTGGAAAAATAAGTTTTATTCTATGATATAATGTTAGTTCTATTAATTACATTTCATGGATTTTGTTCACAAAGATTCTTCTTTACAAATCTAATTCCATGTTTAAATACATTTTTTTGGCTTCCACTTTTTTTCTGTTGAGAGTGAGAATGAGTGAGGAGAGAGAGAGAGAGAGAGAGAGAGAGAGAGAGAGAGAGAGAGATGAACATAAACAGACAGAGAAACTGAGATATTGAATTAGTGTTAGAAGTGGAAATAGTCTGGGGGGGAGAGAATAAAAAGAAAAATATGAGCAAAGTATATTTTATAAAATTCTTTAATAATGATTATTCAAATATATTTCCCATATACGTGCAACTGAAAAATAAAGATAACAATTAAAACATAGAATTACCTTATTCTGCTCTGTAAAACAGATATTACACACCACATTTCAAACTAACACTATTCAAATAATATAAGGCAAAAATCAAATAACAGTCATGGTTTACATTTCTTTGGTTACTTATTCTGAATGAAATGCTTAGGAATAATCTCTATGTAAGATTGATTTAAGATAAAACAATAACCACACTTCAGGACTAGATTGATCCTTAATTTAGAATTATCACATCACATATTATTTCATTTCAGATTACCTGGTTCTTGTCCTTCTGTATTCTCTCGATCAACAATCCAGGGCCCTTTTTTTTTTGTTCAAGACACATGATTACCTCTGGTTTTGAAAGTTCAACACCTGTATATACAAATATACATATTAGTATACTAGTGAATGTACCTGGGTACTTGGATGGGAATGTATCATACATGTAACATGAAGGAGAGTTAAAAAATGAATGAATGATTTTTTTATAGCCACTGTTTTCTAAAATATTTTAGACTCTTCCTAATTCAATTCTATTTAAAATTCTGAATATCTTTTTTAAATTATCACATTGATTAAAGACAACTGTGGAAGTCAAAGTGGATTCACATATTAATGCTAATATCTGCCTAGGAATAAGTAACTAAGATTGAAAGACTCTTAATTTAAATGTAAAATCAAGAAAAAAGTAGGTAATATATTAACTGTAAATATGTCACTAATCAATACCTAAAATTCATGAAGGCCAGATCCAAATACTAAAAGAAGTTTTAGACATTTCTGAGGTGAAGTAGAAATTATGAAATAAAATATTCTCACCCACAGAAACCAGGTTATTGTAATTCTCCAACATGACATCTCTGTACAAAGCCTTCTGAGCAGAATTGAGACATTCCCACTCCTCCTTAGAGAATTCTATAGCCACATCAATAACTCGCAATTCACCCTAAAATTAAAATAAACCATTTGCCTTCATATCTATTGGCTAAGTTCTATATTTGCCCCAAGAAAGGATTAGTTAAGTATGTAAATTTTTATGTTACCAATAAATAATAGTAATTTTTGATGACTTATGATCTGAGAGAAAGAGTATTTGACTTCTCTGCAAAGATCCAATAATCTAGCAGTTCTCAACCTGTGAATGTTGACAATTTTCATGGTCAAATGGCATAATCGCATCAATGGTCTAATGGTGGTTTCCTAAGCCAAGATGAAGCTGAGATGTTTACTTAATTCATAGCATGCTTCATAGCAATAGCAAAATTACAGTTATCAACTAGTAACAAAACTAAACTCATGGTTTGGGTCAATACAACCTCAGAAGTTTTTTTAAAGAGTTGCAGTGTCAGGAAAACTGAGATCTCTGGCATTAGGCTCTAAGTATTATTATATAAATTATTTATATTGTATTTATTATATAATCTAATATACTATATATTTTTATATACTATACATTTATTAAATAATTTAATATGTAGTAAAATTAAATATTAAGTAATACGTTGTATACCTTGTTATGAAAAAATAAAACAGAGAATAATATGAAAGTTTTTTTGTTAATGTGAGTTAGCACAGTGAAAGATTGGACGTTACAATAATGAGGTTATTTCCATAAAAACAGTCATCATGTCCCATACCCATGCACACATTTACCTGAGAAGAACACATCTTTTGTTTCTCATTCTAATTGGAATGTCTCACAAAAGTTTATATGAAAATTGCACCTTCTGGAAGCCACACTTTATTGATAGGCAGCCAATCCTCCTCCATGTCCCTGATAAAACTGCAGTGTGGAAAGCACGAATCCCAACTCCTTGCCTTCTGCCAGAAAACTTCCCTGGAGAGCATAAGTTTATATATGCAAAAAGGTAAAAAAATCTTTACTGCGTTCAGGTGCTCTGTTTTTCCAGAAGATGGTGTATTTCTATATAGAACTGGATATGTAGCAGTAGTGACCTCCTATATAACTACCAGACATACTGGAATTTAAAATGGAGGCTGAACATAGTTAAAATTGATATTCTCCCTTTTGCTTGCTTTACCTTTGCCTGGGCTACTTTATTAAAAAAAATGATATCTCTACTTTCAATAATGGTCATTGTCTGTGAGGTAACCCCAGGTGAAATTAATTCTGCTAGTGGGTGAACAAAATAGTTGCCTGTTGACAAGAAGAACAAAGGCAATCACTTCCTATCTCACTATTGTCTTGAACAAGATATCAGTTTTGGATTCCATTTCCCATTCTAACATACTGTGATTTAGTTGTTTTAAAGACAGACCCATGATTATGTTTTCTTACCTGTTTCCTTTTAACGTTTGTTGAATTCTTTTGGATTATTTATCAAAAACACTTCACATGTAATTATGACAGCACTTCACCAATTCTAATACTTACACCTGTCAGTGAAAGTAGCTGAAATTCAACCTCCAACAATATCATACATGTTGACAACTTTGAGCTGATAAGAGGCTGAAAAAGTGTTATATTAAAAGCATAGTTACTACCCAAAACTTTGTCATTTACTTTCTATGAAGAATATACGGTACAGCACAAAGAGAGACATTATGCTTACCTGCAAAACTCACCCATATGATTTATTATCAATCTACAGAAAGTACTAATAAGATCTTAAATTGTGTCTCAATGATTAATTGGAATTTTCCATAGGCTTCTTTTTCTTTATTTTCTCTTTCGTTTTGCTATGATACTCACATTTTAAGGCTCTATGCCAATGAGGCAAACGTTCAGAAATTTCAGAAATGCAAGATGAAGGTCTAGTTCATAGAGAAATTTCAAATTTTCTTTCTACTTTTCAATTAATAGTAACTATACTGCAAATACTTTTGTCTTAGGAAAAATTATACTACACTTAAAATTGTTTAGAATCATGGGACAACAATGGCAAAAACTCGGTAAAACAGGATTGCAGCTTAAGGATGACAGAATGTACTATTTCATAAAGTGTATGAGTTCATTAGGCATACATTGTGATATAGAAACACATTGCTTCAGTAGTTGGATAGTATTTTTGCATGCAATTGCCTCCAGTAAATACTAACCATTGAGGATACATGATAGGATACATCAAAGAAAGAATATCTTATATTTAAAATATCCTGACCAGATACATACCAGAAATCTGGGATACCATGAAAAGGATTAAGTTAAAGATCATAGGAATAGATGAACATGAAGAGTTCTAGACAAGGAACAGAAATTATTTTCCATGAAATCATAGAAGAAAACTTTCACAAATAAATGAAAGACATGCCTATAGACATGTAACAAACTTATTGAACGCCAATTAAACAGCATCTGAAATGAAATTCCTTCCACTGCATAGGAAATAAATCACTAATTCTACAGAA